TCTCCCCCTTTCCCCCCTAGTACTGAAGATTGAACCAAGGGCCTTAAGCTAAGCTATATCCTAAGTGTTCCAGGCTGGACTAGCTCGTGATCCTCCTGCCTCAGCTTCCAGAGTTGTGGCTTTAGTTATAGACTGCACTGACCACCCCTGAGTGGATGTCTTCTGTATTGGTTCCTTGTGCCATCCTTATATGTCCAGCTGCCTTGTGACAGTGGCACTGGGATGCTCAATAGGTATTTCAAAGTTAAGTATCTAAAACTGAATTTTTTAACTTCTTACTGTGTGTCTTTTCCTTGTCCCTGCAAGCAAGCAACAAAAACTTACTCTGGGAACCCATCCTTCCAGTTGCTCAGACTCCAACCCATGAGCCTTTGTTTGATAATTATTCCATTTTTCCTTATGTTCCCTATCAGAATTTAAAGAATATCCCAGTGCCTCTTCCTTTAATATATACTCAGGATCTGACCCCTCTGACCATCTCCACTGCTGCCAGCCTTCAGCTGAATGTTTGCAACACCCTCAGCACCTGGCGTTCTTGCTGCCTCCAGCCTTACGCCTGAGACGATGATCCTTTTAAAAAGTCAGAATAAATTTCTTTGTTCAAAACTTGGCAACCCTAAAGTGGCTGATTCCAGGTCTGGAGCGAGAAGAGTACAAAATAAACCCGGGACATTTTATAGTACCAGGAAGCAGGAAGTGCTCAAAGGTTTATGGAGGAATGTCAGGAAGATAAGGTACTGTTTTATAATAACATTTGGAGTGAAAAAGGCGCTTTATGCATCTCTAATGATCATAACTATGGAAGTGATGAGGAGGGGTGGATGTCAGCTAATCGATATAGAAGGAATGATGGAATTAGGAATCACATTGTGATCCCAATGAAATAGCGATTTAGGCGCCACCATTAAGGAACGCCAAAGCCATTAGGTGACAGTCCTGGCGCCTGGGCTGTTTGTAAGGTGTCTTGGTAAAGGTGGTGTGTGAAAGGCAGCAAAGGTCACTGGCTGGTTACCAGGGCAAAGGCATTGCTTTTAACCACTTGACAGTTTGCCCTAACAGTCACTAGGGCAGGTGTCATGTCAACCAGTCGATTCTTGTATTGAAAAAATTTGATCAAATTTTCATTTTTATATTTCCTATTATGTTTAAAAATTAACAAAATATGCAATTTTTGGGTCATCCTGTATTTAAATAATTGGATTGGTAAGTGGTTCACGTGCAGGTGGTTTGCACCTCATTCACAGGCCACGCACCCGCACTGCTTTGGGGTCCCCGCCTCCTCGTGCCGGCTGATGTGATCTTCACATGTTGAAGTCAAATCAAATTTTCATTCCTTCCTGCTGGTATACGGGGGACAGAGGCAAGTTAAACACCATGACGGGGAAGTGGCCAGAGCCATGACATGGGATGTCTGGGCCTCATCTCTTTAAATATCAACGTTCTGGGAAAAGATGGCAGAAGACTTTACCATTGAAAAGAGATACTAGCAACGTATCCAAAAATGGAATTCGGTTGTCATCTGGGGCATCTGGATGAGGGCTGTAATGATTTAATGGAATTACTGTTAGTGTTATCAAATGAGACAGTGGAATTGTGCTCAAGAAGGAAAACAGCCTGGATTTTAGGAGATGTCTAAAATTCAGGGGGTGAAATGTCAGGATAGCTGTGCTGGGTGTCAGATGTTCAGGGGAAAAGTATGTGAGAGAGAGACATGCATACAGATTGTCAAGCAAATAGAGTAGGTGTTAACAGTTGCTGAATCTAGATGGTGCATAGATAGGGTTCTATCACCTTTTCTGAATACTGGAAAAATTTTAAAAGCTAGTATTGCCATATTTAAAACCAAACAATCCCCTAATGGACCTCTTCCACACACAGTGTATTCCTGTCCTTGATGCAGTTGCTGCTGGTTGTCCCTGCCAGCCTGCTTCTGCCTCAGGGCCTTTGCATTTCTTCGGCCTCTTCTGGAACATCCTTCCTTTGGCTCTATGTACTCCTTTTTACTTTCTGATAATACTTACTTAAGGTCATCTTAGGGGAGGCTTCCCAGGTTGGCCACCTATTTAAAATTGCAGCCGTCCTGCAGTCCTGCCGGCCTTCTCCACTGTGCTCAGCACCACTGACGCAGTGACCACTGGCCTGCTTAGGAATGGCGAGTCTTTCTCCACTGGGAGGGTAGCTCCAGGGGACAGGATTTTCCCTGCTGTACTCCTGTGCCCAGGAGGTCACCCGATTTGACTCTGCCGAGGCTGAAGTTTCATTCCCAGTTTTTTTTTTCTTTAAAAAAACGTTAAAAAGCCTTTAAAATATGATGCCTCTGTGAGCTGTGAAGAAAACGACACCACTTAAAGGAGCAGAATGGAATCCATAGGTGAACATCATTTAGCAACTGAAATGATGGTCTGTGCTGTGAAATCCAATAAGAGCTGTTATAGAAGAACTGCCCAGAGAATGATTTACTTAAAAAGCCAGGGGGTAAGGGGGTATTGGAGAAGCTGTACTCTCCATCCAAATCAATACCTTTAAAGCTTCCGGGGCATGTCTTTGAGTGTATTTTGTGAATTTGAATAACTGCATTGGTGAAGATTGTTGCAATTTACGATTCATTGCAACTTTAAAATAATTGAGTCAGGTTAGACCCCCTGTTTTGAAGTGGAGATAGGGATGAATAAAGTGCCTTTTTTTCTCTCAGTAATCGGAGAGGCCTATAATTATGCGAAAGGAGAACAGGCCTGAATGGTTTGGGAGTAAGCTCAACTCTGGCATACTGCAGGGTTACCTAGTTTCCTTTGAGATTTGAGTTACTTGTGTGGGGTTGGTAGCTCTAGGCTTTCAAAGTTCACCAGTAACTTGAACCCATACAGTTGATCTGTATTATTCATAGATTCTATATTGACAAATTTGTCTATTCCTTGTAATGTCTTTGTGGATCCCAGAATCAATACTGTGGGTGCCTTTTTGGTCATTGATGACAGGCACAGAGCTGTGAAAATTTCTGTCACAAACCTGTTCCAGCAGAGGTAGGACAAGGCCATCCCTGCCATTTTATTTCAGTCACATACTTTAAAACCAGTGTCCTTTTGGTGGTCTGTTTAGGGCATGTTTTTTGCATATTTGTGCATTATGTTGGTGATTGTGCAGACAGGTGGAACACTGAGGTATTGTCTGGTATTATTAAGTACAAGAAGGCTTTGGGCCAGGGATTTAGGTCAGTGGTTCTGCCACCTGCCTCACAAATGCAAGGACCCGAGTTCAATCCCTGGTACAAAACAAGAACAAAAATTCTAAGTACAAGAAGGCTGTGAAGTTGGCACTGGTGAAATACCTGTGTTAATTTGCTTGTCCAGGCACGAGTAGTGTGTTAGCTGTGCGCTTAGCGTTAATCAAAGTGTGGCACACTCTAAAAAGGAAGAAATTGGTCGGTCTTTATGTGAGGCCACCCTGGAAAGTACCAACGTAATATCCATCAGACATGTGAGTCTATGCAAAAATAGGAAACAGCCAATACGGATTCATGAGAAGAAGACTGATTTTTAAAAAGCATTGTGGATGACATTATTCGGGGGCTCAGCAGTTCTTTCAACAGTTCTTTTGGTCCCATCACCCAAAGCTGGAAAAATGTTAAATCCTTGGTTTGCACATTTCAAAAGTTGATGCTGTGTGAAAAGTGCTTTATTTGTGGATGAGAAAGGTTATGAAGGTCAGGAAACTGAGGATGAATTTTTAAAATAAAGTTTGTCCTCATTCACATAGTTTGTATTTGCAATTTTGCCTACTTGCTGATATTGGCGAGTTAGTAATTGATAGTCACGGTGCTTTGGGGGGGGGAATAAAGACGTGTGAATTGTTGGCACATGCCCTTGTTTGCAGTGGAGGCCAAATCGGCGCTGCCCTGAGTTCTGCCTGGACTTCACACAGAGATGCCCAGGGGAGACCGCCGAGTCTGGGCCTGCAGTGCCAGGCGCTCCAGCTCTGGATCTGTTGGCCAAATGGCCTCTGGCAAGATGCTGACCATTTTGGACCTGATTTTCTCATTTGTGCCATAGATAGACTCTACCAAGATAAGTTGTCTCGTAGCCTTTAGGGTTATAATCTCTGTGAGCTGCACACATGCCTTGCCCTAGGGACAGTGGCTCAGTATTTGCAAATTCACTGTTCATAATTGTTCTGGAATTTTGCATTTAATATTTTCATACCCCAGTTGACCACGGGGGCAACTAAAACCGGGAAGTGAAGCTGCCGGTAAGAGAAGTTATGTGAAGAGCTGTAATGAAATGGCTGTGTCTGACAAGGGCCTAGGCAAAGACCCTGTGGGAAGCACATGGAGCTTTGGTTGATGAAAATGCTGCTACTCGAGGCTGACAGAAACCTAGCCCTCCATTCCCTTGGAGGGACAGCTCAGTCTTCCCCGATTCTGTGTTTGGGGAGAGTTTATGGGACATAATTACCGTGAGTGAGAATTGAGTATAATTGACCTGCTAGTTATTTATAAAACTGTTTTTAGGCAAGTGATTCTCCAAGAGGAGTGTAATGCTTTGCATTGGATACGTTGCTTCTTAAATAAACAGGTTCTACAATGTTTGGTTGAAATGACACGGGACAGCAATTCCTGTTCTGTGTTTACCTTCACATCAGTGTTCACCGTCACCCTTGCTGGTGTGTTTGCCGCTGTTTCCTGTGGGGTCATCCTCGATCTGAGCGTGTTACCTGGAGTCTCATTTCGTTGCTGGAACAGTAGAAGCAGCAGCAGCACAGATAATTGTGTGACACTTAGGTGTATTAAAGCACTTCCAAGGGTTTCGCCTTTATTGATTACACTTTTTACAACAATCTAAATGATAAGAGTTGTTATGAGCCCCATCTTACAGGAAAGGGTACTGAGGCCAAGCAAGATGAGACTGCATGCCTAAAATTGCAGTGGGTAAGGGGTCCTGAGCCTGTACCCCCAGATGCCAGCCTCTGCTGCTTCTCAAGATGGGAGGCGAAGAACATGCTGTCTCTGCCAACAGCAACAACAACAATAATTTCTCACTGGCCAGGAACTTGGACACATTCTGCACTTTTTATTCATATGGTATTACTTTTCCATGAAGCTGCAGTCTAAATTGGTGCCTGCCAGCATTTAGCCGGTCGGTGTCTATACAGAATAGCATAGCAAGTCTTAGGCAGAAGCTCTTTGTCAGACCCTGCATGGAGAACCTGACCACACTGAAGCCATAGTCAGTTGTGACCTTCTGTGGTTGCCAACTCCAGCTTTTGAAAACCTGTGACATCGTTGATGGAGAGTGATACAGAGATGGAAAGTATGGTGGGCTGGTGTAACTCTCTTGCGTTTTTCTCCAGATGGAAAGGAAGAATAGACTTTTTTCTTCTTTAGTATAAACCCAAATGTCAGTCTCTTAGGATGTAAATGGCTTCTCCATCTGTGCCAGGAGAGCCTTGCTGGATGTTACTAGGCCTACCATTTAATCTGTATTTAACTTATTTATTGTTTTATTATTGGCCAGAAGTTCCTTTGAGACTGTAATGAAGGTTAAGGATTATTTCTTCAGGAGGAAGATGCTTCTAAGTATGTAACCCTGTCATTAAGTACATTTAGTGAGCATTCCTATATTTCCTGAGAATCCCATTGATAGCATGTTAGGGTTCAGAGATTTTGAAAACTTCTTCCCAAAGGGCTCCATGAGCAATTTTTTTGCACTTAAAATATATATAACTACAGCTCCTGCCTGGCAAGTACAAGGTCCTGAGTTCGATCCCCAGTACAAAAAAAAAAAAAAAAATGCAGTTATATTTCTTTGCTCTTGGCTGGAATTAAGAGCATATTTACTGGCTGATCTGGGTTTCTTCTGCGGAAGAATTACTGAAAGCATGCAACCCACATTGAGTGAAGGAGTTCCTTAACGATGACAAGGTTGGAAACCCCTGGTCTCTTCATTTTCCTTTCCCAGAATCCTACTTGTCTGGCTGGGCAGTCCTAACTCTGTAATACAGCAGTAGAATTTGGTACTGTGCTTTATGTGCTTGTCTTGTCTTCACTGTTACTTCCTAAGACTTTAAGGGACCATGCCTTAAAGGCGTCTTTCTTGCTTTTCATAGGACTTGACCCCCAATAGGTTGTGGGCTTATTTAGTTTCGGCCACCATTTTCACAGGAGAGGAGAGGTGGTGTCTGGCAAAGGTGTCCATCCTCTGGTCAGCAGAGGGCAGCAGTAGAGAGGGTAAAGATGGCCCTTGCTCTTCAGATGAGCCAGGTTCCTCAGAGCTACAGAGCCCTTAAGGGAAACTACTTAATGCAAATGTTGAGGAAATTGTCCTTAAAAATAAAGGTAGCTTTATTAAAATCTAGAATATATTTCAGTGTGAAGCAATATTAATTATTTTTTAACTAGAAGAATTGCTTTTTTAGAGTTGCTCTTTTTTGGAATTTCCAATGTATTGGAGCGGAGTAAATGGTGAGGTATACAGTCAGCAAAGAAGGGAGCCAGTAAGCATTTCCTTATGCTGATTGTTACCTTTTATTGCTAATAAATATACATAAAAATAAGGTTAATTTATCCCTGGAGTGAAGTATGTATTTACACGGTAGTGTGGAAAGAATGATGGCGTGCATTTATTTTGCAGTTGGGAAACATGAGAAAATACTGGAAGAGTAGCTAGTACTATACGTGATCTAAAGTTTAGTTTAAAGATGGTGAATTAACAGTCCCTGGGTAAGTCTAAGAGGAAATAATTTCTAAGTATTTTCTGAACTGAAAGGAAGATGCATCTTCCTTCTGTAAATGCCCAGATGAGCCAAAATCAGACAGTTGGAGCTGACACAAATATAGCAGCCCAAGTTGAAAAAGAAGAAATCTGAAGATGGAGTCCTAGACCTGGAGCCTGAATGGTGTGCTCAGTGGTTCACTGGAGAGTTGACTGGCAGCACCTGGCACTAGCCAGGTGCACAGGAAGCAGGACGGGAGCCTGCCCCTTACCCCAAGGTCTTGTGGAGAAAAGATAGGAGCTTCAAGGGCCTGGGACACAGTGACTTTCAGACCTGGGAGATGAGCGCGGGCTTCCAGAAGGACTGGGGAAGGACACGGGAATCCTCGTAGGACTCTGGCCATGAGGAACGAGAAGGAAAGGACTTCTAGGCAGTTGTACTTGAGAAAATGAAGAGGTACGAAGTTACCTAAGCATGTTCATGAGGAGTAAGGGGACAGGATGGCAAGCTGCTTTTTGTGAGAATTTCCCACTGTTCTACTTTTCAAACCCTATCTTTTCAAGTGGTCACTGCGGGGCCAGATACTTGTGTCTCTGGTTTGGGGATAATCATGGGAAGTAAATTACTCTTGAAAAAGAACTGTTTCATTCTCCACTACATGAGGAAAACTTGAGGGCTCTTGAGAGAGAATTGCCTCACACTGTAGCAGAATCCATAGCTCTTTTTGGTAATTATAATTTCCACAAAGTTAATTGAAGTGTTAGGTCCATGGGCCTGGTTTGAAAAAAAAAACAAACAACAAAATAGACACTGCAGCTAGTTGGGCTGTTTTCTAGACTTGAGGAAGCATCAGAAAAAGTATATAAACTGGGAAGGAGTATGAATTGAGCCTTTGTCACTTGAACTCCTCTGTAACCTGGGGCTCTACAGGATTTTCACTATGAGGTTGCACTACAAATGAAAGAAAGATGAGATGTTTGGGGCTTGGTTGCAGTGGGCTTTATCATGGTAACTTAGAAGTAGTACGCTTTTAGGACCCTGACAGGAAGCTCTGTGACTGACATTCATGTTGCGCCAGCATTTCCAGCATCCTGGAAAGAACAAATCTAAAGATGGAGTCATGGACTGGAGCCCAAATGGTGTGCTCAGCGTTGTTTAGGGAAATATTTCATTATTGAGGTATTTCTGGTAGAAGTGTTAGCTGATGTTCCATTTGACTCAAATCTTCTTGTGAATTGAGTTTTAAAAGTATTTGCAGCAGGGTGCAGCTCCTAGCTACTTGGGAGACTGAGGGAAGAGGAACTGAAGGCCAGTTTGGGAAACAGTGAAATATTCATCTCAAATAGGTATACAACTTTATATCTCATACACATCAGAATTCCATTGGGTTAACTATGACAGCCAGAGAGAAGTTGGATAGAAGTGAAACTGGAGATCGAACTCGGGTCCTTGCACTTGTGAGACAGGCAGCCGAGCCACTAAGCCAAATCAAGGTGAGATCTTGAACTGAAGGGGTAGATGAGTGTGTACTCTGTTGTGACTCACACCTTTGTATTAGCCTTTTGTCTTTGTGACAGAATAACTGAGAAAAATCAAGTTAGAATGAGGAAAGGTTTATTTTGGCTCAGAGTTTCAGACATTTCGGTCCACGGTCACCTAGCTTCAAGGTGGAAACATGGCAGAAAAAACCTGCTCGCCTCATGGTAGTGGGAAAACGGAGCAAGAGTGAGAGCAGGTGCTGTCAGGCTCCCTTCTCCCTCTCTTGTTCCATCAGGCCCCAGCCTATTAGGTGGTGCTCCCACATCCAGGGTGAGACTCCCCCATCAGTTTTCTGTCCCACATGCCGTTCATCTCTGGAAATGCCCTCATATAAACACCCAGAAGTGTGCTTTACTGATTTCCTAGGTGTTTCTCAGACCAATCAGGTTGACAGTCAAGATTAATCGGAGCAACTGCTGTTCTCTGATCTCAAGGAGATGCTAAGTGCTCTCCTTCATGTGTTTATTTGCTCATTCTTCCAACTACTATAATAATTTTTAATTATTATTTACGATGCCTTGTCCCATGTGTTGGGGAAGCAACAGTGAACAAGAAAAAAAGATTTTTGTCTTCATGGAGCTCTGAGCCTGATGAGGGCAAGAGGTTAATCAGCTAATAACATAATGCATTCCTTATGTTAACTCTGAGATGTTCTGTGGGTGATGAGGACCTTTTGAGTGATGGTGGAAAAAGCTTCCTGGTGAAAAAAACAACCTGTGAGGGCTAAAGGACATGTAAGAGGTAAGCAGGAGAAAAGCATCTCACTGGTTGAAGTTGAACCTCGAACTCATTCAGGTGGGACCTTGTTGGTCCCAAGGTATAGAGAGCAAGTTAGAGATTTAAGAAACTTGGGGCCATGTGCCCAGGGCTGTCCAATGTGCAGTTGAAGATCTCGCACACTCTGAGAGATTGGTACTGGTGAGAACTAATGGCTAATGCCAAAATTCCGGGATCCCAGGCTAAGGGGGAAATAGCTTTATTCTTTGAGTGGACATGGTAACAGTGGACGAAATTCAATGGAAAGGAGACCTTGGATTTGCCAGTAAAAACTCCCAGAAACCTGAGAGCTCTAGCTTTCCTTCCTTCTTTACCTCTCTTTATCCTCCCCCCTTCCCCCTCTTCTCCCTGAATCACTCCTTCCCTTTTACTCTCTGTTCCTCTGCCTCCCCTCGTCCATTCACTCACAAGCATATGTCAGGCCTCACTGGTGAGCAGTAGAAGGTCCCATCTGCCCTGCCCATAGAGTTCTCAACAGGGCAGTGGATTGATTGATTCTCTTAGCAGGCTGGGCTGTGGAGGTAGATACGTGGTATGGAATGCAGTAAATTCTTTTTGTGTGTTTTATTTATATGAGCAGGCATCATGAACTCATACCCCTTTCTTTAAATGTGTGGGCCCACAGTCAGGGAGTAGAAGAAGTTTTAGAAACAGATTCAGGCCAGACCATTTCTGTCCCTGGAAAGCTGTTTACTATGGCTTGTATCTTGATGTTCCCCCAAAGCCTCATGGGTATGGCCTTGTGGAGGTGGCTGGATCTGGGGTGTCGATGTGATACTGGGATGATGGGTGCCCCAGCCAGGATGTGAGTGCTACCTCTACAAACTGTGAGAAGAAATGTTTTTCTTCCTTTAACTTTGAGTGTTGGGTATTTTTGTCTCAGCAACAAGAAAAGTAACTAAGACACTGTTTCAGATCAGGTGTCTCAAAGGATGGTTGGATCTCTTGCACATCTCAGTGCATTCTGTTGGTACTGTTCTGCCTCATATTTGAGCACCTTGAGGATTACAGTGTAAGCAGTTTGTCTATAGGAATTGTGTTCTCTTTGTAAAAATGGTGAATGCAGTGTCATTTACCCAGTGGGGATACAATAAATATTAATTACTGGTGGCTTATCCCTTAACAGAATTTTTTCCTTTCGATTAATGAAGCAGATTCCTGATGAATGCATTTGTTTCTCCCAGAGTTCCACTTGCCAAGGCTCAAGTGCTGTAAAGGATTTGCCTGAAGGGATGAGATTCTTGTCCAATTTTTTCCTTTCTCTTTCAAGCACCCTTTGGAGATGCATTTCTTCTGAATGTAATTGGCCTTAGGGAAATACATTTTAGCCAGAAAAGAGAACTATGTGGTCATGTTCTTGTCTGCTACATTAGGTAAAATGTTTTTGAGCTAAAAACAGTAATTAAGCATTAAAAGAGTAGCAGGCATTCACTGGATAGAGTTCAGACCCAGCTATAGGTGCTACTGTCACCAGATGGGGTGTGAGGAGGTCCTCCAGAGAGGAGGTGGGCACCTCATCTTGCCGCAGGTAGGCCTTTGGCTTGTAGAAAAGCACTTCAGGATGCGTCTGCTTGAGGCATAGACAGGTTTAGTACTCAGTTAAAAAGAAATGGTAAAAGGTCTTCAGCTTGAGGAGTTGAAGTGGGGTGCAGCTCTGGTGGAGAAAATCAGACCCCTCAACAAAGGGGAGGAAACAGCTTTTAAGAACAAGCTGGGGCAGGCTAGGTTTTGCTTTGCAAGATGGCTGTGGGAGAAGTCCTTATCTTACTCATGCCCTCTTCCTGAGATGATTATTTCTGCTTGGGGCAGTTGCCATTTTGTGGAGGCTCTGTTGGAATCCAAAGTAGTCTTAAGTTTAGGGCAATGGTGAGAGACTTTGGCGTGATTATTGATAGTTGAATGGCCCTGTCAATATTTTATCTTGGTGTCGTCAGTCTTGAAGGGAGAGAAGATAGATTATAAATTTAAATAATCAACCTTGTATTGCCAGCGTTTAGACAGGACTCACTAAATTACTACCATGAGTATGTGCAGAACTGAGCAAGGATCTGATCCAAAGTTTTAAGAAAGTAAAGGAGACAGAAAATTAAGGTCAGGTTTTGTTCTGCTTTTTATTTACCTATTACACATCTATCTGTAGGCCCAAGTGAAGAGTCTGTTTTTGCTTAGAAAAAAAAAAAAAAAAAGCTTTTAAGTTCTTAATAGCCTCTGAAGAAAACACAATCAAGGTTTTG